CAATACAGTCACATTCCTATCTGTTTTGTATAGTTGGGGGCATTAGTGTTTGGTGCACATATATTTATGATTATCATCTTTTCCTTTTGGATTGTTCCTTTTACAAGGATGTAGTGACCTTCTTTGTCTCTCTTAATTAGTTTTGGTTTGAAGTTTACTTTGTCTGCAAGTAAGATCGTTAGCCCCGCTTTTTTCCAGGTTCCTGTCAGATGAAGAACTGTTTTCCATCCTTTTATTTTCAGTCTATAAGTTTCTTTTTCAAGTAGGTGTGCTTCTTGTATATAGCATATTATTGGATTTTGCTTCTTAATCCATTCTGCCAGACGATTTCTTTTTTTAATTGAGTTTATTGGTTCATTTTAGGTATACAGTACAGTTACATTCATCATTGGGATCTTGTATCTTTACATGACATATCTTGGTTCTCATTTTTTCCCCATACCCCTGCCATTCCTTCATACCCTCAACACTCCACTGTTTACAAAGAGCATGTTCCCATTTTTTACTTTTCTCATATTTTTTCTTTTCCCTTATTTCTTTTGATTGGTGAATTGAGACCACTGACATTAATGGTTATAACTGATATGTATTGACTTGCAATTGTCATGTCATTTTCCTGTTGTTGTTTCTTTTTTATTTCATCACCTTTGTTGAATTTTAGTTTAAAAATTTTAATTTGAAGGATATTTTATATTTAGTAGGTTTCCCTAAATATTTATTTTATGGTATTGGTGAATAAGTATACTTTTTATTCAGCTCTTCTTGTTTCATCTTCCTTCCTTCCAATTCTCCCTCCATGATAATTTATTTTTTAACAGTAATTCCCCCTCACCAAGAAATCCCCTGTAAGAAAGCAAACCAAGAAGGTAAATTCAGATTTTTGCCTTCTCTTGATGCAGTCATATTTTTCCTTCTGCATTTATTGTTTTCTTTTCCTGCCAGGAAGTTGGCTACTCACGGTAGAGCTGAGATCTATATCGTAAGCTCCTTCACTTGGTATAAATGTGGCCAACAGTGGTGCAAGGTAGGAGCAAATTGGGCATTTCAGCCATGAAAGAAAAATTATTGGCATAAGGAAACAAATGCAACGAGCCAGAAACTGCTTCCAGCTACACCCGTCTGAGAAATAGTTACAAAATCTAAAATGACCCACAGAGATAAACAAAACCGGACAAAGGCATTTTGTATGAGCCAATCAGTCTTTCACTCCACTCAGGAATTATAGGTCTGGAATGTGGGGATTGTAGAATACTTAATAATCCTTGTCCCAAAGTGAACAGTTAATGTCCAATTTATAGTGCAAGAAAGTTAGTTTTGTAAAAGCGAAGAGACTTGCTCCTATCAATTGCCAAATAAGTAATACCGAGTAGCTAGAGTCAGCCAGGCCTCTCTCAGGACCAAGTATCCTGGCCTCTTCAGCATATGAAGAGTTATGAAAACATTTCTAAGATGTTGGAGTCAAGAACCAGCCTCCTGCTAAATATACGGATTACCAAAAGTGCCAAAGCAGAACACCTTCGTCTTCTTCATATTGGACATAATTTTCCTACAGCACCAGAAAATTCCAAATCACAGGTGAATGCACTCTAACAGCACATTGAATTTAAACTTCTTTTCTTTTCAGTTCTTAAATACATTAAGCACAAATTATCTCTTAAATATGTGGTAAATTGCTTAAATGTAACCTAAGTAGAGCCATGAAGATGATCTGTTTTATCAGTATAAATTATTATCAGCTCTCTTCCCAGGAAATTATGAGACCAGCTAGCACTATTGAACGTGTGCTGTGTTCTAGGTTCTGTAGTATTTTACATGGAGTTGTACATTTAATCTTTGCCATATACATAAAGTATAGGCTAATATCATCATTTTCTTAATATAGAAGAGGAAAATGTGGCTTAGAATTAAAGAATTATTTTCCTCCACATACCCCCTATGTAAGTGGTGGCAGTATATTTTTAACTCAATCATCTCTATTTTGCTCTTCCTTTCACTATGAAATAATCCCACTTGAAAGTTCTCTCTTCTGTTTTATATCATCTACCCTATTTCTATCTTCATGAGAGCTTATTGAGTATTTGAATTGGATGAGACTCAATGTTGCTAGCGCGGGAAACCCAAGCTGGTATTAAACAATAACACAAGGAAGATCATGCACTCGATCCCACATGAGAAGTCAAGCCAGAGAACACCTTGCACTGAGTGACTTAGGTCTGGAAAATGTGTCTGGTTAATAGCTCACATCATGGCAAGGGGGAAATTGGTAACTCATATTGCAATATGGGAAATTTCTGAAGCCAGGGCTAGTGGGACAATCCCACCAAAATCAAGTCCCTCTGCTGGGGAAGGTGGGGGGGGTAGAGTCAAACAAATGAAATTCTTATTTCCATTTCCAGTAAAAGATTGACACAAATGAAAGTTTAAAAACAAATTATGGTTAGATTTCACATCTTAAAAATATTCTGTGGATGATGGCATATTGATCAATTGCTGCAGAGTGACAAGTTATTGCAAATTTTAGCTACTTTAAAGAGCATTTTCCGTAGGTTGTAACCTGGGTGTGGTTAGCTGGCTCAGGGCTGCTCCTTAGGTTGCAGCCAGATCGCCGACTGGGGATGTATTTGCTTCCAAGCTCACTCATATGGTTGTTGGGATAAATCAGTTCTTCCTGGGCTGTTTGGCTGAGGATCTCAATTCTTTGATATGTGGCCCTTGCATAAAGCAGTTCAAACAGTCAGCTGGTTTCCCTCAGAATAAGCAGGAGAGAGAAACAAGATGCCTAAGATGGTCTTAGCATAACGTCATCTTGGAAGTGACATCCCATCACTTCTGCTGTACTTTATTCTTTAGAGTTGGATCATTAAGTCCAATAGACACTTCAGGAAACAAGCTGTTGTGGTTTAGATCTAAAATTTTTCCCCAAAGTCTCACGTTCAGAGGTGGGGCTTTTGGATCATGGGGGTGCAGAATGAACTGTCAGGAGGTGGGTTCTGGTGGAAGGAGGTGAGCCACTGGTGGCATGGCCTGGAAGAATGTGTACTTCTTCCCTTTTCCATTCTCTCTCTGCCTCCTGGCCACTACCAGTGAACAGCTTCCCTCTGCCATGCCCTTCCTCCATGCTATTTCTGCCTTGGACTGAATCCACTGAAACTGTTCACGAAGTAAACCTCTCTCCCTTAAGTTGTGGGTGCTGGGTATTTTGTCCCATCAACAGGAAAGTGATTAATGCAGAGGATGACAAAAGGCATTAGGACCAGGCAGAAAAGAGGTGAGAATTTTGGGGGTCACGGTAGGTTGAAATTAGTGTTTCCTCAAAATTCTTACATTGAAATTCTCCCAGTCTGATGGGGTTTAGAGATGATGCCCGGGGAAGCAATTAGGAAGCAAGGGGAGAACGCTTATGAATGGGGTTAATGTACTTCACAGACACAAGAGTTTGATCTCCCTCGATGCCATGTGTACAGAGAGAAGAGGGCCACTTGCAAACCAGGAAGAAGCCCTCATAAGACATGTGTCTGCCAGCACCTTGATGTTAGACTTCCTAGCCTCCAGAGCTGTGAGGAATAAATGATCGTTCTTTAAATCACTTGGTATTTTGTACTGAGTTTTAGCAACCTGAGCTGACTATGACAGCTCTGTCCCAGGAGCTGTGCGCCATGGTGTGTGTGTTTGTGTGTACGCGCATGTAGATGCATAATGTTTTCAGGGACAGTGAATGTACCTGGTATTGAGCCAAGATTGCATTGAGTTCATATGCACTTTCCAGCTAGGGACATTGGTCAAGTCAGTTATACTGGTTTCTGCATAGGCACAATTCCTGCAAGGAAGTGACAACATTCACAAGTTGAATGGGCTTACAAGGGACCATTTACGAAGAAGCGAGCAAAGGTAGGGAAATGACAAGAAACAGGATTCACAATAGCCTGGCCTAACCCTACCTGTAGGCCTCTGGCAGTGAGGTAAAGGAGAAGATACCAGAACCTGGAAAGGATAATTACATGTGAAGACCATACAGGAGCTACAGCTTTGTGTGATAGGTACTGGCAGCTTGGTGCATCTCCACTGGCCAGACGTCAGGGGAATAGAAAGCTTGATTTCATGCTTGTTCATTCCCCTGTGGGCACTACTCACTGGCTAAAGCTGAGGGTGATGGAGTCCACTGGTGTGTCTGATGTAGGTCAGCCTCCTGGGGCATATGGTGACGTGCAAGTAGTACACGATTCATCTGGAGGCACAACCAGAACACAGTACAAACAAATGCCCTTAGGAGGAAAACCTTCCCCACAATAGGTAGGGAAGAAGAGAGAAGCTTACATGAATAGGTGCTTAGAGCAGGCTAAATGGAGGAGTTTGCTGATAGAGAAGGGTATTCCACATCAAAACTGGCTTTCAAATAATTGCATCTCCTGAAGATCCTTAAAAATAGGAAACACATATTCATCCCTATGAAGTGATTTGGGGAAAACTGCACTGATGAAAGGAACGTGAGTGGCTAAGATGACTTTGAAGGGTCCTTGTAACTTGAGGATTCAGTGTTCCAGGAGGGGTGATGGAAATCAGGGAATAGGATCTCCTGCAAAACATTCACAACTCTTTGAAATGGAAATTAGGCTGTTCCAATTGAGGAATGAAATTACAGCAAATATTCAGGGTGTTAGCAGGCTGTGCTCAAGCCTGTTTGAAGGCACAGCTAAAGGAGAGAAGTGTGCTTTTTTCCTGGATGAAGCAGGATCTCACTCAGCCTGTTTTCATCTTTATTTAGCACCTGCTGGCTTGGAGTTGTTGTCCAAGCAATCAGGCAGGAGATCTGCCAAGAGCCTGGCCTCCCCAAGTCTGCTACCCCTCCTTCCACACCCCACGGCGGCCTGTTCTGATATAGATGGACAGGCAGCTGGTTTAAAATGACAGTCTCAAGTTCTTTTAGAAAGAGAAGGCTAATTCAAAGAAACAGCCAGACAAGCTTCCTTTCTTTGCAGGAATAATTATTAGCCCCCTTTACCATGGCCCACCTGGGAGCCCATTTTGCCTTTAGATCCCGCTGGCAGAAGACCGACGATGAACTCTGCCGACATAGCACGTCCTTTATCCTCCACAGAGCCATTCGCAATGACTTCTTTCAGTGCTACCTCTACCTGCTGGAAAATATTCCCCTGGGTAAGTGAGTTAGAGCTTCTGGACATGGGACAAGAAATGACTGCAAGGATTGTGTGAGGTTGTGGGACACCTGGAAGAGGTGTTAGAACAATGAAGCAGACTTTTCGGATAAAAAGGATCCGCAGCCAACGTGCATGGCTTGAAGTGCCTCAGGGGTGTTCTTTTATGGGCAGTCAAAGATCAAGGGCACCATCAAGGCGGGGCTCTATTTTGGGCTGTCCATGGACCCGCATGCACAGTGATTTGCTTCTCTAACGTCAGCTGATAGAAACTTACTCCTTGAGTTTTGAAGAATAGTTTTAATATTTGCCAAAAGGTAGAGTTGGGCAAATTAGGTACCTGAAATATGGAGGTATTAATGTAATAGTATATAAAATACTAGTTAAGAAGAGGGACCAAGCAACAAAAGGATCAAAATGTGCTTGATATGTATGTGAATGTGCACATATGTGTGTATGCGTGCGTGTTTATGTGGGTATACATGGGTGTGTGTTTGTGTGTTTGTGTTAGATCTCTGTTCTTCCTGAGTCACGAGTAACTCAGAAACCCTAAAAGGAGCAGTAAATGTTTGATCTTTGAATATTAAGAAAAAAAATCTAAGGCATTTTTGTTATTTCCTCCCATCATCAGGGAATTAGACAACAGAGCCACAAAGAGCTTGTCTGGCTTGTCTGTACCACTTTTATCAGCTTCAGTGACGGCAGCTACTCCAGGGTACTCTAAATATCACTGAAGGGGAACAATTTCGGATTGTAGGCTGAACTGCCACCGCTACCCCTGATTTATACTTTCTCCCCACGAAAGCAGGAACACTGGGTCCCAGCTTAGTCTGAAAGCCCCATTGTGCACTTGATAAAGCCAAAGTTTCTAGCTGTGCATGGGGCTGCATAATTCTGTATTGCATTTGAGAAACTAGATATACTATCAATGCCTCATTTTGCTACTGCATTTTGAAGAGATTTGTAATTATAGACATATAAATATTTTCATTTCATATTTAGATAGCTTTCTTATAAAATGTTGTCTGATCTATGACTTAGTTTGATCCTCATAGACACACCATAGCTAGACAGGGTAAATATCATTTTTTCCCCTCCCACTTTCCCATCTCTTCTCTCCAAATTTAATTTTCAGATGAAGGAAAGGAAATTCAGAGATTGTGCTATCTAATCTAGAGAGAATAAATCAAAGCAAGAACTGAAATCCAAGGTGTCTTCTAGTAGAGTGCACTGCTCACAAATAATTATTCTTGGACATATGGTGTTACATCTCATCTATACCCAAGCAGAAAATTTTATAAGTTCATTTGGAAGGTGTTGATGACCTAGGGCTCCATACTCGGCAGAGTGTTGCTTTTCTGGGGACACCCTTTTTCTTTGGTAGCTGTGGCTGCCTTAGACTGAAGAAAGCTGTCAATCATAGTAATAGGTGGATAGATGTGGTGGATGACAGCAAAACTTTAAACATAATAATTGGAAAGAAAAATAACTCATCTCTCAAAGTGGCTGAAGATGAATTAAGAATAGAACTACCTCTTCTAAAATCAGGTAAAAATTAACTTGGGACAAGTAAACTATAATTTCTATTTGACCACAATCCTTTTTTCCCACCCATTATAATTGCTTTGTTTTTATAATAATTTTTATTTTATCTAGTTTTCCTCTTTGTGAGTGTGCTGATAGTTTGTCAGTTATTTCCAGCCTTTTAGAAAACATTCAGCCTGGGCATTACTTTTCCCTGAGAATCACTGTTAGCCCTACCCAAAATGGCTCTTTGGTAATAAAAGCTGAAGATTAGTGGGTATAGACTAGGCTATGCCACACTAACAAATCGTTCCTGAGATGTCCGTGGTGGAATACGTACATTTGCTCTCACTACATCGCTTCTAACACGCGGTATTGTGGCAGAAGAGCCTTTGTTCTACACAGCCCTGTGGGGACCCAGGATGATATCATCTCCATCAGCCAGAATGTCACCAGTCATCAAGAGGAAAGACCAGCTAAAGACGTGGTTGCTAGCTCCAGGCACTTTGGTCTCAAAAGAAATACTTTGTTTGGATTCCATTGCTCAGACTCCATAAGATTTTGAACAATGTGAAAGGAGCACGTTGTTTCTTCCACAGCAAAAACATACAACTTTCTGATCGATTTGGGAGAAATTTTTCTTATTGTACAAAATAGTGCATTGGAGAAGATTTAAATACTAATAAGACTGTTTTGGCAATGGAAGTAAATCTACAAATAACTTTTTTCTATCCTCAAAAGCTTTAAATTAATAGTACAAAGAAGGCAAGTTATTGTTTCTATAAATAGAATCTCTGCAACTTTCTTTTCATTGCAGAAGCTAAATCAGCATATAAGTCTGAAGTGTGGCATATCTAATTAGAAGGCATCCCCAACCCGATTAACTCACTTAGACATTTATTTTTGTTCCAGGAGATTAAAACTTATACTTGTGGAACACATCTGTATGTCTGATCTCTCCTATTGGGTTCTAGTTTCCATGAGAGTGGAGATTCATCTATGCCTTTCACCTTCTAAAGCTAGATATTTAGCATTTACCATGGTTCTTGACACCTAGAAAGAACTCAATAAATATGTCAAGCGAATTAAATGCTCTCTTACTAATAATTAATTGTAGGTCACTAAAGTACTGAGTTTATAGCATGCATTGCAAGAATAATTTTCCTTAAAGCTGGTGCAGGACCGTTTGAAGGATTAAATGCAGTCAATGAAACGAAAGCAGTTAATCTTCAATAAATATTAATTTTTTTCCTTTCTTCTGAGCCAGGCCTCTTTTAAAATTGACATGTAGTATTTTCTAGAACAGGCATTCCCCCAAACAGTAAGCTTACTTCAGTACCTAAGTTTACAGGCCACACCGGATATTCTGCTTTTCAGATTGGAAATACAGCTCAGCCAGCAGAGATGCCCCCTCCCCAGCTCTGCTGAGCTATTTTGTAGTGGGCTTGCCCTGCTCTTCAAGATTTCATAGAAATAAAAATAAAGCCCCTCCTGCAGAGTCTGTACAGAGAGTTTGTTGGTTAGAGCAATTACGAAAGAGATGTAGCTCAGCATCCTGTTCCATTGCTTCTTCCCTTCCTTCCTCCCTCCAACTGCCGTCCTAGTTTCTCTCCAGCACACTGTGTGGCGACATTTGGTCATGGAGAAATTTGCTGTAATATTCCTAGCTAATTTCAAAAATGTGTGTCGTAGCAAAGACAGGCATTCTAAAATCTCCAATGGAAGATTTAGCAACTCAGTTGAACATAACAGGTTTTCAGAAAACAAACAAAAAACAAAAAGGAAATCAGCTTATCGCTGTTTTTGGTGTTTTGCATTGATTATCTGAATTCATCTTCACAACATCTCCATTAGGTTTATTTTTTTTTCCCCATTTTATATTTGAAGAACTGATGCACCAAAGAGTTCAGTAACTCAGTCTTGTGGTGGTGAGTGGCACAGCAGGACCAGCCCCCAGGCAGTCCTGCTCCAGGGTGCCCGCTATTGTCTCTCAAAGTAAGTGGAAACTGGATTAATGTGGGCAGCTATGTAAACTTACCATGAGTTTTTATTTGACAGGAATAGAAAACATAGTCTGTGAAGAGCATTGACTTACTATTGGGATCCAAATGGGCAGGCCAATGAGTAGATTCATCCAATCAAATTACGCCTCTCCAGTTCAGCTGGAGGCTTGAAGAGAACAAATTTTAAAAAAAAAAAAAAAAAGCTGTTTCTGAACAAGTAGGAAGCAGAATAGGAAAACAAGTCAGTGTAAATCTATAGCTTGTGTACCTGTGCTCAGAGGAATGATGCATGTCCAGATTCAAGACATTTGTGTAAGGTAATTCTAAAACTGTCCACATTTCTGAATACACAGAGGCTAATATTAATTGTTTTATGGAACAAGAGCCTATTACTCTTGGACATTTAAGACCAGTGCTTCACAGTTGGATAGTCATGCCCTGTGGCTTGATGTCAACACGTCTTTTCTACGTGATAGTGAGTGACCAGGTCTCTCTGATGCTCTCATTACTCATTTATAAGATGGTGATTATAACTCCAGTCTTGTAGAATCATCAGAATTAATCTTGTAGGACTAAAAGAGATAATGTGAAAGTACCTAGCACAAAGCCTGCCAGGAAGTACTCACTAAATGGTAGTAGCCTTCTTTCATTTGTTCTATTTTAGAATCACCTGTCTTTAAGGAGGAAAATGCAAACAACGGCTACCCATTGTTCATCACAGTCGAAAGACAGAGTTAATAAAAACCATTTTCTATGAAACACTTGCAATTTCCATAATGAAACTCACCATACTAGTATTTTTCAAACTGATTTCATCCTTGTGGCTGGTACTATATTGCCACACAGATCACTGTGCAATTTTACACTTTTAAAAGTATTTATTATTATTTTTGCTATGCAAATGTTGGAAAATCACCTTTCTTTTTCTTTTCTAATATTAATTTTTTTGGGGGGTGTACTGGGGATTAAACTCAGGACCTTGCACTTGCAAGGCAGGCAGTGAAACCATTGAGCTAAGTCCCCAACCCTCTTTTTAAAGAACAAAGAAAGACAAATTACATTTTTATTTAGCTGATATATTTTCAGGTATGCAGAACAAGATCGATAAGCTATGGGTTTGGGATTTAATTAGACCTATTCAAATCCCAACATGCTGTTCACTTACTGTTTGGCCTTAGGCAATTTAGTTTACATTTCGCTGCCCTGGTTTTTCTTCTGTGGAATGTATGCATAACATTTATCTTACCTATTCAGTTCCGTAGGAATGATTTACATGTGCATTGCATTTATGTACATGTGTTTGGTCAATTATAGCTCTTATTTTATGAGGATTATGAGTGCATATTAATTGTACAAAATAGGATTCATTATGACATTTTCATACATGCCTCTAACTTGCTTTGATTGTATCTGACTTTCCCATTACTCTTTCCTACCCAACTCCTGCTTCCCCCTTTTTTGGTAGTCCCTTTTC